TAGACCGCCCCCCCCGGGGCTGCGCCTGGGCCCCGGAGGAATCAATCGTGGGAAGAAAATAAATGTGTGTAAACCACTGTCAATAAACGACACCCAGACCTTCCAAAAAAAAAAATACATATATATATATTCTCAGGAGACATCTGTGTCGTTCCACTTTGGGGCTAATAATAATAATGTTACGAACATTCTCATCAACACCCTGACTGATGTCTCCAGTGTCTGTAGGTGAGAGCAGAATTACAGGTGCAGGACTTAGTCCTTCCCAGAGCAATCCATGACTCCACAGATATTCCAACTTCGTGTTGCCATACTTTCTCCTACTGGCTTCTTTTTTCCTACTGAGACCTTTTAATATGATTGACATCCATCTTCTATCAATTATACAAATAGAAAATACCTCCATACAACATGTAGCACCTCTGTTTTTATTTACTCACTTATTTGTTTATTTTAGCTTGTCTCTCAATTTCATTTATGGAGTCTTCTACCAGGCAACAGCTTTACTTTAATATGGTCAACTGTAACATTTTTTTTTTTTTACCCTTAAGGATTTTCCTTAAGAATTCTCATATTTCAGATGGCACAATTTACCAAGGTAATAATTATAATCTCCTATATTTTCTTCCAAAATTTTAAGAACGTATTTTTGATGAATGGACTATTAACTCATTCAGAAATAAATTTTGTATTTGGTGTGGGAAACAGATCTATTTTTCCTTGATAATTGTCACAGAACAATTAATGTAGAATCCATTGTCTCCTCGATTTATTTACTATCACTTCTGTTTTATAGTAAGTTCCCAAATATGAGTAGAATTGTTTCAAACTTCTCTACTTCTGCCACTGGTAAACCATCTTAATAACTACAGAATTGTAAATCTTAATATCTAGTAAGGTATATATCCTTATACTTACGCAGTGCCTTCAAATATTAAGATCAGTCTTCAGGCTTTTCGAAAATACCCAGCAGATATTCTGATCAGATTTACTCTAAATTTATAATTTTGGGAAAATTGTCATCTTTATAATATTTTTTTCCTACTTATAAAACTATGAACATGGCATACCTCTTTCTCTATTCTTTTTATTTCTCTGTTGTGACAGTGGATATTGAACCCACACTGAGCTACATCTCCAGTCCACTTTTTATTTTGAGACAAGGTCTCAAAAATTGCTAAATTGCCCACACTGGGTTCAAACTCATAATCCTCCTTCCTAGGATTACAGTGTGTGCCACTATGCCAGGCTGGTATATCTCATTTTTTTCTCTTTTTAACTACATATTATAAGTAAACATAAATATTTTGAGCATTGTATGCAAGATTTATACCTGCATATGTCAAAGTTTTAGTTGATAGTACGAAAGAGAAAATGAAATCTGCATTCTATTATATTTCCTAACTAGTTATCACATGTGGATAAGAAACATTAATTTTTCTAATAGTGACCTTGTACCCAATAACTTTGCTGAATTATCTTATCACTTATAATAATTGGTATAAATATTATTTTAATCTTCTTGGTAAATTATATCATATACACATAAAGTAGATTTAGTTCATGTTCTCCAATGCTTATCATGCCTTCAATTTCACTTTTTATTTTATTGTATAAAAAAGAGTTGATTCTGCAGGCTAATTTTATATAAATGTTTAAGATTTATCATTAATTATGATGACTGTAAATTTTTTTTCTTTTTTTTTTGTGGGCGGGGGGAGTACTGAGAATTGAAGTCAGGACCTTGTGCTTGTGAGGCAGGCAGGGGCACCACTGAGCTAAATCCCCAGCCTTGTAAATTCTTGACAGGTATCTTTTACAAAGTTCAGTAAGATCCATTCTACTCCTAGTTTGCTACAGTTTTTGATCATGAAATATCAAATGCTTTTTTAATGTCATGAGATATTTAAACATCAACAAATTCTTTTTTACAATTACTAAATCATATAGTCTCTTGTATCAGTTAATAGAGTAAAATGTAATAAATACATAATAATTGAGTAGGACACACTATAACAGTGAATTACATCTGCCAATATTTTATTTCATAATCATCTGTTCATTTAAAAGGAAAATTACTGATATTCACAAAGATGAAACTTCTAATATCTTTTTATCTATTTTGATATCAATAGACCTATTATAAAATGATCTTGACAGACATCTTGTTTTTTATTGTATAAAACAGACAACAAATCTTTCACAATTTGATAAAAACACGTGTAATATCTGCAACTGATGGAGAAGTTATTAATTGTAAATTTAGCTGCTTTCAGTTTTCTATTACATGCAAATTTACCCTCTTATTGCTAATATGGCCTGCCTTTTTAAAAAATCCTAATAGTTATCTTCCCCATGAAGACAGGGACTGTCTCACTATTATCATACAGTACATGCCAAAAGTTTTTTGGCTGACTCATCCTAATGATTTCCTTTTGTCTTTTTATTAACCTTCTACAAATTACGTATGCAGCATGATTACCTCTACCCAAAAAATCCTATTCATATAAAAATCAACAGAAAGAAGGAGCCAGACATGAGGGCATACACCTTTAATTCCAGCACTCTATGGGGCTGAGGCTAGAGGATTGCCAAATTCAAGCCCAGCTTGGGCAACTTAACAACTTAATGAGACCCTGCCTCAAAGTAATAAAAGGCTCTGGGGATGTGCCTCAGTATAAAGGCCACAGGTGGAGTCCCAGGTCCCACGCGTGCATGCACACATTCTCTCTCTCTCTTTCTCTCTCTCTCTCTCTCTCTCTCTCTCACACACACACACACACACACACACACACATGCAAGGAAAAATTGTATTCTGGTGGGTTAAGATTAGATCAGATTTCCACTCCAACTGAGAGCAAGAATTCAGAATCCATCATCTTTATTTTCCCTCCCACTCACCATTCTTGAAGCAAAAGCTTCCCTTGGGTCAGCAGCAGGTGCCATTTGCCCCTTTCCAGGATCATGGAAGTCTGCAGAATGCAATACATTTAGCAACAAACTCAGACCTGGGTTCCAGTTCATGGACTGATTGGGTGACCTCGGGCAGATCACTGAACCTTTCCAGACCTTCAGTTTAAGTGGAAATAATCTATCTCACAAGTTTTTATTAAGAGAAATAAATGAAATAATATATGTGGGTGCATCTTATCAATCTATAAGAGATCTGTTTCATACATGTGTGTACATACATGTTTAACTATAAAGCAAAACATCATCAGACTAGCTCAGCCTGGTGTGCTATGCACTAAACTGCAAAACAGATATGACCCTAAACAGACATGACCCAAGGTAAGGGCTACTTCTCTGCACACTTGCTCTTTCCACCTTCTGCGGTAGCCCGGAGTTTGCCTCCATTACAATGATGCAGATCTCATATCCTTCATCGCCTCCCTCATGGCATGTGCTGTACACATCAGTGTGGGCTTCCCTTTCTATTTCTTTAATGAGGAAGGCTGGACTGAGTACCTGTCCAGTCCCATGACCCGGACGTCCCATTGCTGGCCTCACAGCTCTGCTTGCAGATTAAGTGTACGTGGCATTCCCACACTTGGCTGCATTTCCCAGACTCCAACCTGTCTGTTCGTTCCCTTTCAGTTTCCTAATACATCCGGATCCTTATCAATGGTTATTATTCCGCACTTAGAAAGCAATCAGCTATTTCAAGCAGTAAGAATGAACACCTAATCTCCCCTGAGATCCACCTCAGGGCAACCATTTTGTGGAAGGCTAACCTATGCTTGCATCACCATAGAATCACAGAATAATAACACATCCTGAGGAAAACGGAAGGAAAAGGAGAGCACAAAGGGCAGTCTCACTCAGTTGCCACCTACTAAGTGACTTATTTAATAGAACATAACAATGGTTATTTCTTACCCTAAGGATCCTATACTATTTGTTTTCATATTATCAGCCCGTTTATCTTGTGTTTACAGGAGGGAGTTTTGTGACCACAATTATTCCTCCTGTTCCAAGGAACAAAGTTTAGAAGGAGAATTGCTACAGGAATGAGTGAAACACTTGCTGAGAGTATTTTAATTCCATTTATTTTTGCAATAAAAATGGAGATGGAAGGTCAGGATCTCGCTCAGTGGTGCCGTCTCACAAGCACAAAGTCCCAAGCTCGATCTCCGGTACCAAAAAAAAAAAAATTTGGAGATGGTTTTTACAATACAGTATACGACTGATAAGAAAGTGGTGTTAGAAATTTTTTAGAAGATGGACTCAAGCTCTTTAGGGATTTTCACAGTTTGCACACAAAAAAAATGTATGTAATGTATTAAGATAACACTTAACAAATGGAAGGAGTTGGGTGCTTTTAATACTGACCAGAGTATCAGACCTTCTGACCAAGAAGACTCCAGGCATCCAAACACAAGGTCTGCCAGGTGTGGCGATGCATGCCTGTCACCCCAGCGCTCTGCATGCTGAGGCAGGAGGCTTGCACATTTAAGCCCAGCCAAACACACATTTCAAGAAATGCAGCATTAAGACATTTCACATCATAGTACAAAGCTGGAGAGGATAAGAGAGAACTCAGGGAAAAGAATACAGGGTAAAGTCCAAACCCATACACCTCCAGTCCCCTAAGGTATAGAAGAGGTTCACTGATCTCTAACAGCATGAAAACGTAATTAACTTCCACTAACTGAGAACTGGAATAACCTGACCACACGTTCCGTGTTGTACTTTTGTCATCACAGAGGAAGGGTGAAGCTGATCCATGAACAACCCATTCACAAGAGATTCAGAAAAAGGCTGGTCAGTACTGACAGAAAGGATGAGAACTGATAAGTAAACACAAACATCTACCGATGTGTGTAGTTACTAACACAATCAGTCAAATATACTGAGGAGAAAAGCTGTACAAAGCCATCAACAGAGAGCGATTACTCGCTAAATCAAAATCGGATCAAGGACAACTCCACTGGTTCTGGTGAAATGGAAACAAAATGTCCATGATGTCCCGCAATAACAAGAAATGTGTCAAAACTCACCTCATGCTTGGAGAAGAGCCTGACCCCCTCAAGCTGGTGGAACACTGGGTAGTGCTGGGTGTCGATCTGGTCACGCCGGTAGACGTCCCCCACCACCAGGAAGGCGTCCAGCCCCGCGTGCAGCAGGTCCCACTGGTGCGCCGACGTGTGCGCTCTCAGCATGTGAGTCCGGTTCAGGTAATAGTTGTCCCCCTTCTTCCTGCTGGGGTGGTCCGCTGGGATGAGCAGGCTATCAAAGTTCTGCCAGGTCGTGACCACGGGAGAAAGGTCATCATAGACCGAGAACAGCGGGGTCCCAAAGCGGCCCACATACTGCTTGTAGAAATGCTCCTTCACCCTCTCCTTGATCAGCCACAGAGGGTGATGGTGCTGGTTGTACAGATTCCTGCCTACTTTGGACAGGACTTTCCGGGTGAGGTTGGTGTGGTCGTCCTGAGGGTAGGATTTGCCCAGCAGCTCTAGAACACTGCCCGGAGCTCCAGAAGCAGCAAAGTCTGATGTAATCGGCCTTGAGCCCCACGCCCGATGCTGGTGCCCTCTGCAGACATGACTGGCCCTCCTCACCAGGCAGATGTGTGCATGAGCAACTCTGCTGAGCGCTGAACAAACCATCGCGAAACTTCTGCTTGCAGATGCTGGAAAGAACACACATGCAAAGTACATATCAGGCTTCACTCTGTGGGACAGCAAGCAAGTCTTCTTGTCTCCCACCAGCTCCGCCCTTTCCTACAGACTCCCATGTGTCCCTACCATCACCTCCACACAGCAGGAAGATCGGTTAAGAAAATCTGTTAACAGAGGCTGCCACAGCTGAAATGCACCCTCCAGAACTCATGCTGCAATGGAATTTCCATCGCAACAATAAGAAGGTAGAACTTTAAAGAGGTGAGTAGCTCCTGAGGGATCTACCTGCCTCAAGAGCTGACTAATCCCATTGTGGGAGCGTGGCCTCCTGATAAAGGGATGACCTTGGGTCCGCCCCATCCTCTCCATCCACCATGGCCTGGCGCAGAAGGAAGACCAATGCCAGACGCCAGCACCCGACCTGGACCTTAGCCTTCCCAGAATTAGAGCTGTGAGAAGTGAATTGTCTTCTTTATAAATCACCCAGTCAATGCTATTCTGTTACAGCAACAGAAAACAGACTAAGAGGTTCAATGTTTAATGTGCAAAATCAAAAGTATCTTGAAAGTTACACTTAAGATTCCTAATCTCTAGTTGCACTTCTCTCATCATTTAGATGCCTAGCTTTGTAGAAATTTCCTTCACTATATGCCACTAGGTTCTAAACTCCTCGGGTGGGATAAAACTTTAAGGTGATAACTTCTTTTAGTTTTACTACTTTCTAAAACAAAAATTAACACTTTTTTGTTTACACGTGTTAATCAAGCAAATTAATGGGTTTCGCTGTTGCTATTTCATATGTGCATACAGAGTACATTGATCAATTAGAAGTGTTGGGACCAAAAAACTTTGTAAGGATCACTTGAAAGCTTAGGTCCACTTAGTTGGACCCTAATCAGGGTCTCAAAAATGAGACAAAGTCTATGATCACACACAAGCCTCTGAGGATAGAAGAAAAATACATTAAAGGGCCATGTTGCCATCTCTGCCTTCCATCCTGATACTACAAAGTTCAGCTTACCTCGGACAGAGCATACCCTGGCTTCTGAATTATTTCATAAGATGACAAAAAAACATTAACCATCCTTTTTAAATGTTTTGAATAAAGGACACTACTTTACATGGTGATGATCTATACTTAATAATATTTAAAAATAAATGGAAAAATTAAGGAAATGTTATACAAAGTGATAGACTAAACTAATGGACAGCTGAAACTATTTTTATAAATGCTAATCTCCCCCATCCTGACATCTGGTCATGTCATTTAAATGTGATACCTTTGTAGAATCCCATCAAATACATTTTTGTTCTGTAAAAGAACATATTTCTACCTCACACCCACAATAAAACAGGAATAGGACTGAATTTACTGGAGAAGAGACACAGAGCTGCCAGAAGACAGAGTACTGACTCAGATTAAAATGAAGAAAGAGGACAAGGAGGAAGAGGAAAGGGGAACAAAAGAGAAGAGGAGGACACAGAGGGAGAGGAAAGAGTAGGAGGGGGAGAGGGAAAGAAAAATGCCTTGAGTCTAATGATATCACCAAGTTTCCCAGCTGAAAGTCACCTCAGCAGTCAGCTATTCCCCACTGAGATGAGGTGATAAAGATGCAGAAACCCCTGAACACAATCTGTACCTGCTAGCAGCAAAAGTAAGGCAACAGCAACAAATGCTGGAGCACTCATACAGTGTTCTTTCCCCAGTCCCACAGAAGGCAGTTTGAAATTCCCTCAGGGGTCTCAGTAACGAGAGAGTCAAATCTCAATGTTCATAAATAATTTCAGTTCATAAACTTGAATCACTCAAACATTCTAAAATTTGGAATATGAAGGCATTGAGCTACTTTAAAACATACAACTATATGGCTATTTTACTTCAAGGACCATACAATCATATCAAGAAAACATACAATTTCACGGTATGAAGCTGCCCTGGGAGAGAATCATATTGCTCCAAATAACACATATTAGCATGTAAGTGGGCAGCACAATTCTCTGGACTCAAAAAGGGAAAGGAGAACCTTAACTTCAAATTAAATGCTGTGCTTGGGGGAATATTGCTTATTAGAAGCCTGTACACTAGTCCTTCACCTAAGACTATCACGGGAAAAATTCTCTGATACTCAGGAACTCTAGATTTATTCATTCATGGTATTATTTTGTCAGAGTTGCATCAAAAGAGGCTTTGACTAAGTTTCACCTGAAATCTGTCTTCCCATCCACATTATTCAGCAACTTGTCACTGCGGTGGATGAGAATTTTAAATATGCACATGCAGGCTTACACATCTTAGTACAAAGCCATGCTGCTAGGTTGTTACCCAATTCAGCATCCATGGCAAGACACAAGAAAGTATTTCTTCCTTCCAAAGACATGTGCTGTTATACAAAATTGAGGATTGTTCTGGAATAGGTGCTTTTAGGCAGTTACTCATGGTTACCGACTCTGCTTCTTCTCAATTTCTAGTTCCTCAAACACACAACCCACTTGTAGGTTCCCAGAGATGCATCCATCAAAATAAAAACATGCATCTTGTACTGGTGAAAGGAATATTTCAAAATGGCCATAAAGGACATAATACAGTACCTTAAAGGAACAAAAGGGGGACTGGGTAAATGACAGCAATTATTTATTATTAATCGTTGCTACTGGGAGTCAGCTGCTGAGATGTGCAAATAGTGGGTGTGGTAGTTAAGCCCACTTCTCTGCAAGGCTGCCTTAGGAAGTAACATCTTCAAAGGTACCTGGCTAATGTTTCCAGAACTATGTTGGGTAGGAGTAGTGAGCATGGATGTCCTTGTCTTGTTCCTGATTTTAGAGTGAAAGCTTTCGGGTTTTGACCATTTAGTATGATCTTGGCTGTTGGTTTGTCATAGAAGACTTTTATCAGTTCCAATTTTATCTAGGGTTTTTAACACAAATGGGTGTTGGACCTTGTCATATGCTTTTTCCAAGTCTATCGAGATGACCATGTGATTTTTGTCATTGACTTTATTAACATGGTGTATTACATTTATTGATTTGAGTGTGTTGAACCATCCCTGCATCCTGGGATGAATCCTACTTGGTCATGATGTATAATCTTCTTGACTTTTTGCTACATTCTCCTTGCCAGTAACTCATTGAGGATTTCTGCGTTTATGTTCATTAGGGAGTCTGGTCTGTACCTCTCTTTTTTGGTTGGATCCTTCTCTGGTTTTGGTATCAGGGTAATACTTGCTTCTAAGAATGACTTTGGGAGTACTTCTTCCCTTTTAATTTCATTAAAGAGTTTGAGGAGTAGTGGCATTAGATCTTCTCTAAATTTCTTGTAGAATTCAGCAGTGAATCCATCAGAATCTGCACTTTTCTTTGTTGGTACCAATCAACTTAATGATTAAAAAACACTAATTTTCTTGAAATTTGCAGAACTGAAAAACATCTTGTGATTAGGCAATTACAATCATGTGCGGATCATCTGATCACAAATTTAGAACCTCCAGCCCTTGAGAGAAGGTGGCTACCAGCTAAAAATACCTATTACTTGCCTACCTAAGCCATTTCTGTACCACTTTCCCAGCAAGATACACTTTAAACAATAGTCTTCCCTCTTTTCAATCACTGCCCTTTCAAATAAACTTGCCTTCCTTGACTCAACACCTTGTCTTTCAACTTAATTAGCCTGTTGTGCTGCGAGCTAAAAGAGTTGGGTCTGGACAACAAGTAGAAGGACAATGATTCCTTTTTCTTTCTACATATAGTTACTAGCAAAGCTAGTCAATATAACAGCAATATGAGATGCTATGTCTAATATGTCCAGGGTTGTCTCACTGTGTATATTAAGAAATAGTGTGGATAAATATGTTGTTAATTGAAAAAAATAAATCAAGGTATATGATGCTTGATTTTTTTGTGGTTTTGGGGTTTGGCCACATTGAGAATGCTATCAACTTTCTTTACCACTATAAATCTAATACAGTGACTAGAAGTAATAAAACAGTTTATAAATGTTTGTTGTAGAATGAAGGAATTTCATTGCAGTTTCAACAATCCTCTCAACCTCCCTCATTCTTCCATGTAAAGGAAACACTAGGTAGTCCACGAACACCAATGGACCAAAAGTTTCTCTAAGGGCCAGTTAGCTTACTGAAAAAGGCCAATGGTAAGTGACCATGACCCATATATGGTCAACACCACACAACAATGACCAAGAACATGATAACCCCAGATACAGTACTTAAAGGCATCTACTGAGAAAATATAAAATTTGGCTCAGTCAACACACACATGTATTTTACTCAACAAAATAATGGTGAGGAAATGGCCAACTCTCATTAACTTTTACTCATAAAGGGGCAAATCCAGAATATGTTTTTGTTCCTTCTGACAGCATGAAAACAAAGTAAATGTCAATAAGCACGCAATTTCCCATATTACTGGTAATAATGTTTCCTAGGAAGCGATTCAGAACTATCAAAACACTTAAAATTGTTCATATGACTTGACAGGACAATGATCCTTCTCAGAACTTATAACAAAGAAAGAATGTACATGAAGACAGAAATTGTTATGGTTTAAATTGAAGTGAAACCAAAGATACATGTCTTGACAGCTTAATGCCCAACAAGCAACAGTCTGAGGTGGAGCTTAGCAAAATGACTGGATCATGAGATTAATCCACTGACAAGGGCATAGCTGAATGAGCCATTGAAAGGCAGAGCCCAGCTGAAGGAAGTAGGTCACTGGCAGTGCATCTGGTTCTAGGCCCCTCCCTCTCTGGATCTTTCTCACTCACTCTGCTTCCACAAGGCTGCCATTAGGTGAGCATCTTTCCACCATAACGTTTCTGCCTTGGAGCCAGCTGCCATGGACTGAAGTCTTGAAACCATGAGAAAAATAAATCTTTCCTCCTTTAAGTTGTTTATATTAGGTATTTGTCACAGCAGTGGAAAGCTAACACAAGTAAAATATAAAGCAGTTTCATTTCAGCATTATTTACAAAAGAAAAACAGTAGAGATAAGAGAATGT